CTTATACCTAGGAATGATAGTTATTCACCTCCCCAGGGCAGGACAGGCCAGGCTGTAGGTGTCCGATAGGCTGTAAGCTTCCCTGTTAGTCCCAATATGATATTTTAACATTCTGCCTGTAGTAAGTAGTCGCTGTAGTCTCAGCTCAGTGGACCCCAAGGCTTCCTTTCTTTTTGCTTTCAGTTTGTTTGAAAACAAGATCAAACCCACCACTTCAAAAGTTTTTCCTCTTCCTTTAGTCCCTCGTCCGCAACCCATTTTATAGACACTGAAACGGCCTTCTGCAGGCTCCATGCGTCATCTGTGTCATCAACACTACTACCCAATGCTTTTCATGAAGTTAAGTAACTTTCTTTTCCTTCTAGCTTAGCTCTTAACTTCCATTACTCAAAGAAGCAGCTATCTTTCCCTGTTTGTCCCAGTCCAGTCTCATTGACCTTCTTGTTTAAAGTCACCTTCCACATTCACAGCTTTTAGGGATGGTTCAGGCTAAAATCATATCTGTTCCCTTCCCCCTTAGACTTTCAGAAATCACTAACTGCTTGAGCTGAACCTTCGAATGAGTCTCCATTCGAGGTCTTCCAGGTTTACGTTATTCTTGCTGCATCTCAGTTTTCCTTTTCGTGAACATTCCATCCACATAATTATTATAAAGTTCTAGCCTTTGAAAGTCAACTTGAAATTCTCAGACATGTTTGGAGGAATCTCAGTGAGAAGCCTATTTCTTCAAAGTCACCCTTCCCTGAGAACCAGCATCCTTCTCTGATACCAGAGCCCAAGCAGGGTCTCCCTAATTACTTTATTTCTGTGTTTGGTTTTGTGGTAACTGGGAACCATAGACAGAGAAAGCCTGAACCTCCCTGAAGAGGTCTCTTAGGGAGGCCTCCAGAACCAAATATGCTCTCAAGGAATTTGGTTGTGAGAGAGATGCTATCAGCAATTAGGGCTTTACATTTCAGCATAAACATTGCTGAGAGTTACTTGAATTTTTTTTCTGTTCTGCACGTAATGATAAGATTCTTATAAGGATGTTCTCTTCTTGTAGTTTTTGGCCTGATTATCACAGATTATAATCATCTGTTTTTTCCATGTCCATCTGCCCTAATGGACTGTAGACCACATGTTGGAAGGGATGGTGTGCATTTTGTTCACTGCTGTGCCCAGTTTCTCACAGTGCCTAGCCCAAGTATTTCATGACTGTTTAGTAAAACTGTATTTCTGATTCTATGTAAGTGAACAGAGATGTGATGACAGAATAAAGGGGAAATGCACCCCCTCAAAAAGCTTATTACTTCGCAAGGTGTCCCATGTTGAGATAAAAGCAGAGTAAACCTCATGCCTAAATATGTCCTGTTTCCTAGAAGACGCCTGTCTAGTACCAGGGTGCCTTGTGAAAGGTTCAGATAAACAATTTAATGTAAATCATAAAATGCAAACCCACTTCTTCCTGGGATGGTAGTGTTGCAGCACCCTAAAAGAGAGATTGTTTGAATTATTTTGGAGGATATTCCGCTTAAAGCACCTAGAGTCATAATTCACACAAAAAAGTCAAGATTTAAATATAAAACAGGGGCCCAGGAGCAAGCCATGTCGAGACCGTATATCAGATTTCTCTTGCCCTGATTTGAAAATCTTCCACTGTTTAAATCTGTTGACTTCTAAATCATAACTATAATGCTGGGACAGGAGATGGGACGCCTAGTTTTTATTTAGCACTTGACTGAAATGTAACATGACTTCAAGGCTCTTTTATGTTACAAAAATGCCAGCTATTGTTCATCTCCAGTGAAACGAATAAACCTTAGATGACAGGGACATCAAGGTAGACAAAAGGATGTAGGACAGAGCCGGGGAATTTAAACAATTTTGAGAGTTCGGGGAAAATGATAAAATCTCTTAATCTAGAGATATTCAAGAAGAAGGCAGGGATCTTCTCTCTAAAATTGGGGGAGCAAAGGGTGCTTCTTCATGAACAACGGTGACCATCTAGTCTTTTTTGTACTCCAATAAGAATAGCAAGACCATGCTTCAGGAAAGCTGTCCAGTGTAAACAGGCCCTGCCTTGGAGTTCGTTGAGTAGAGGTCTCTTTCTACAGAGGACACCCAGGTGAAACTCTCTTGCTCTGGTGTTCCAGAAACTCAGCGGTGAAGGCTGATCTGTGACTCTTCCCCAGATTCCTCGAATTCGTGAGCATTCAGGCCTAAGATTTAACATGCACTTAACCTTGTTAACAAAGGTGCCTTCGTCTTGAGGAGACATGAAAACTTAGCCATGTAAATATATCTTGTCTCCTCCGGTGTTAAAACAACAACAACAACAACAACAAAAAGCAATACTACTACAAGCTGGGTGGAACCACGGTAAACAAGCATTTTCCATTGACTCGAGCAGAGCAAATAGAATCTTTACTGATAGTGCTTCTTCTTAGTTTCACCAGGGACATTAGATTCATAGTGGTTCATTTCAAAACCATGCTTCCGCTTTCAAGGACTGTTTTATCACCTGTAGGCTGAAGCGTTCTCCTTAGCTGAAGATGCAAGCTTGTCCTACAGAATGTTTGGTAATAAGGGTGCGAAGGGAGGGAAACGTTTGCACGTGGCATTCCCTGAAACAGGGTTGTAATAAATAGCTACTCGAGAGAAAACCTAGGTTTTCCTTGAGATTCCCAGGGCAGAGACAGCAGTGATGAGGTGTCACATTATAGATAGCCAGGCTTTCCCACTTGGCCCTAGCTTTGGTAGCATTTTTTTTTTCCATCGGAAGTGGAATAAGGATATTCAGGGCCAGAGTCAGGGAAATGCAGCCACAAAAGACAAAGATGGGGGTAGGGATGGGAGGAGGCTGAACAGCTGTGGGCAGTGTCTCTGAAGGGGAAGAGGCTTCCCAACCTGTTCAGGGCCTCCTGGAGCTGAGGACAGGAAATGGAACAGTTGGTTTCAATGAAGAGCCCCTGGAGGAGAGAGATCCCAGACTGGCCGACGGATCCACTCTTGCCCTGCCTCCCTGTGGGATTCAGGAGGGTGAGCTGAGGATCCCGTCTGTGTGAGCACTGCTGCTGGTACCCTGCACACCTCCACCTTCACCGTTCTCACATAGAATCATGGAGATGTGCCAGCTGAGGATGTGAGAGTTTCAGCACTTACCCACGGGCACACCGCGAGTAGGTGGACTCCAGAATCTTCCACAGATTGTACTGTTCCTTCTGTGAATAGTGTTTCTCTTTGTTCCTCCCTTTCCCCTAAGTTTTGGATAGAGACTATCACCCATATTGAGGAGGATTTGAGTATTTGATTTACCAACACATGCATTTTGTGACCCCACAGAAACTTCCGGTGGGTGCCTGGAGTTACATAGAGAGCAGCTGCCATTTTCTTTGCCCCAAGGAGCTAGCTCGGTGACCTCCTTCAGTCATGGAAAGTCCCTTCCCCAGATAGACTCCGGCATTCCACTGGCTTCTCCTGCTGCTAAAATAAAACTGGGCAAATCCATCAGTAAACCGTGGAGCATAAAGAGGTCGGGCTGCTTCTCCAGCATTTGTCAGGGGTGTGAAGAGGTCATTTTTTATGTGCACAGCTTTGCTGCTCTGGCTGCTACATCTCGGTCCTGCTCCAGCTGAACCGCTCTTATTACTTCTGTGCTTGCTTTGCCAACAGCCTCTTCACAGTGACTGCTTTTCTCCAGTTACGCTCCTGTTGAACTCGGCTTTCTGAGTAACTCTTCCTTTCCCTTTTAAAGAGTGAAGTCCATGAACCCGGGCGAGAATTATCATAGACACTGTACTACAGAAATGGCTCGTTAAGCTCTTTAAGCTCTCCGTGCTCCCCACCACCCCAGCACTTGTGTAAATCCTACAGATACAGCTGAATGACTTTATGTCCTCCAACTGTGAGACTGGCACTGTGGAAAGAATTAGCAACATGTACATTTAGAACTGGTATTTGTAAAAACAAGCCTGGTCTGGATTTGCAGTACTGTTGCAGGAACAAAACTGACCACAGCGTGTGAGTTTGTAGCACAAGACAGACGTGATCAGAAAACAGTGAAGGCTCCAGCAGCACAGTCCACCCTTTCCTCCAGGGCCCTCTCCCCATTTCGACTCACATTTTCCCGAACAAGCTACCAAACAGGTTATGCATCTGAAAATTTATTCACTTCAGCCACAGGGCGACTTGAATGGACTTTGTGTTCACATTTCCTCCGTTCGTCTTCTGTGGATTAGAAATCATAGTGCGTGAAGATAAAGAAATTAGGTCAAACCAGCCATAGTGAAACAGGTTCAAATCTTTATTATTTTTTATTTTTTAAGAGATGGGGGTCTCACTCTGTCATCCAGGCTGGAGTGCAGGGACGCAATCATAGTTCACTGCGCATCAATCTCCTGGGCTCAAGTGATCCTCCTGCCTCAGCCTCCCAAAGTGTTGGGATTACAGGCGTGAGCCACTGTGCCCTGCCAAACTTTTTTTACATGTTGGATTAACACAACCATTTAATTGGTGGCCTTCATATGGTCAATGGAAGCCAACACTTCTTAAAGAATAAAGAATAACAGAAGGCTAAGTACATATTTGGGGATTTAAAAAAAAAATCACAGAATAGTTCATTGAAAGCATCTTTGTGTTTTTAAAATCAGGAAAAGCTTGCTGTTCAAACTTCTAAAATGGGTTTATGAACACAATGCAAATAGTTTAGAGAAAGAATAATAATTAAAAAAAATTCCTGATCCATGTCTCTAACAAATGATCAGGAAAGCAGAGGCGAGAGGTGACTTTAATTTCACAAGCAAATATATACGCATGTGCACCTTTACGCGTCTATTTTCTGATTACATCATACTCCAGGCAACAAGGGAGCCTGGTCAATGTAGGACTTCTCGGACACAGAAATGCCAGACAATGTGAGAGTGGAACCCGGATGCTGAGCTTGCCAACACCTTACTGGGGAGAGAATGAGAGTCAGGTGCAACCGAGAGACAATACTAGACAATACTAGATTAGCTGTGCATCCTGAGAGTTGCTTCTGATAACTTCAGGGAGGAAGTCTAGAACCCTGATCTACATAAAGTGACAGATGGCAGACTCGCTGTGGAGGACTCCTGAAGTAGTGTCCCTGGTTAGAACGCTGATTTCTTCCCTAAAGGTGATGTGGGCACAGAACTGAGCTGTGTGAATGGGAGGGCCAAGTAAGCACTGCTCACGCTGCTGAATTTGCTCTGGCAGCCCAAGTCCTTAAGGTGAGGCCTGTCTGGCTGCTGCTGCTGTTACCAGTCTTTTAGTATGGTTAGTCATTTCTCTTGTTCGTGCTGCTGTTAAAAAAGCTTTCCCTGTTTCTCCTTCTGCCTTGAAGCTGGCCAGACATCTGTGGAGTGACAGGGCCTTTCCAAGAAGGCAGAGTCAGAGTGATGAGGTCCACACAGGTCAGTGAGATGAAGACACGAAGGAATATGTAAGCACCCAGGCCTTGGTCCCAGTGACAGTTACTTGTTAACAGGAATGTGTGACAAACCCCACTCCTGAGCCCTTCTGATGGCATCAGAAACCCGGGGGAAATATACAGAGTTTCTTCTGGGAAGTGACTAGCTGGTGCCACTAGAACATCTATCCCAGTAGGGCAGGGCCTGGGGTCACCTCCCCACCATATTCTAAGGAATCACATCCTCCTGCTGGAGCAGCGGGTGTTGCAGAGGTGTGAAGGGGGCCAACACAGTTTCTGGGCAGGAATCCAAGCTGCTGGCCTTTCTGGGCAGGGCGACAACCGGAGGGAAGCGTGCAGCAGCATTCTGCCATTGCCGGCAAGTCTCCTTGAGGGTGGGAGGGGCCCCAAGATGGCGAGTTGACTTGGGTGCAGCGCCTGTTCCTGTTGCACTCCCAGAGCCGCAGATGGAAGGAGTGAGTGTTTCTCAGCTCCTCAGGTTTGCGTCTGTCCTCAAAACATGGCTCCCCTTCTGCCTCCCTTCTTGCAGGTTTAAATCTCCCGCAGCCCCTGTCCTTCCTGTGTGAAAGCAGAGCTGGCTCTACAGAGGGTGAGTGGGGCATCTGGCAGTGGTTACTTTGCTGCGGTCACTGTAATTTTCGTGAAACAGCACCAAGATTGATCGCTCCCTCCCTTCCTCTTAATGTTGGAGGTTCAGAAGACAGGAATCTGGTCTCTCCGAACCACATCAAGGTCATCATCCAAAGTTAACAAAACCTGAAACGAGAGGGACAGAGAAATGAAGGGAATGGACAGTCACTGCCACACTAAGTCCTGTTTTCTCTCTGAGATGCCCACAGACTGGAAACTGTTAGTTCCCTCTCATTCTCATCCCTTCTGCAGCTCTCTGCAATCCCTTGCTCTTAATAGGCACTTACTCTAATTATACAATTCATTTGTCAATTAATTCAAACATTCATGAAGGTTTACGATGTGCTATTCCAGATGCTATGGAGATATAGTTTGTAATGAAAGAGACAAAAATCCCTATTCTCCATGTAGCTTACATTCTAAAGAGGGCTTTAGACATGAAACAAATACATGAGTAAAATATAGCCCGTTAGATAGTAGTAAGTGCTAAGGATATAAGTTAAATAATGGAGGGAATATAGGAAGTATCAGGTGTGGGGAGGTAACAAATTTTGATAGGGTGGCCTGGGAAGTCATTACTTAGCGGACATTTAGGTCAAGAGTCAAAGGGAATGAAGTCCTGTTGGATAGAGTGTTGCTATATAAGAAATGTACCCTTCTCTTCCATTTCTAGTTCCCTCGACTACTACTGTCCCCACGTGGAACCTTTGGTTCCACTTTTGTTGTCTCTGTCTCTCTCATGAAGGTGACAATCAGAAGTAAAAGACAAGGAATGTTTATACAGATTGGCTAAGCTTCCCAAACTGGCCACTAGGGGGTAGCCCTGCTCCACTCTTGAGGTTATATGGCCCGCCTGAGCCCGCTTAGCGTGGAGCCCGGGCGTCTGGTAGGTCTGGGGCCTGAAGTCTAGTAGGGTTGTTAATTGTCGATTGAACCTGCCTACAGGCACCATGGACTTTTAATTGGGGAAAGTCAAAGTTAGGATTAAAGGATGGAACTATAATTCAGGGTTGATATAAATACGCATGGCTTCTGAGAAAGGGTTGGGGCAAAAAAACAGAGAAACTACAGGAGAGATTTTGGGACAGACTGATCAGAAGGCAACAGAGGCGTGGCTGCTATCCCAAGCCACTTAAGGAATATGTAAAATATTTGTGAAACATTCAGAGAGACTGGAGGAGGAGGAGGAGGAGGAGGAGGAGGAGGAGGAATGTCAGTATGGCATGAGAAAGAATAACCCAATGTTATCGGAATTGCTAAAAGTGGTTCCTGGGGGAATTTCGGGCATGTGGGTCTAATAACCAATTCAGAAAAAATGTGCTGTGCAACTTAGGGAAAATAATTTTGTCCCTCTGTGTCTAAAGATATTGAAGGGTAAAAGAAAAACTAAAGATCTAACCAAAGGACATAAAATTTATAAAAGAAATAAGATGGTCTGTATATTGAATTACAAGGAGGAAATGGAAAGTAAAATTAGAGAGGAATATAAAAAAACAATGTAAGGAAGAGCAGAAGAAGAAAATGGGAGTACAAGATGTAAAGAGAGAAGGAAGTCACAAAAAGACAGATATGAACTCACCAAGAATGAGAAAAACAGAGCAGTAGCAGAGAGGAAGTGCCAGATGTCATGGTCATCGAAGAAATCCAGCAGAATGCACTCGCGGTTCTTCTCCCGGGATTCCGCCGGAGTTCCCTGGAGGAAGGTGAGGCAGAACATGGGCAACATTCCCTCAGTTCAACTGTTCAAAGAGTTGAACATCTGGAAAGTTACAAAAATGCTACTAGGTGTCTGGTTTGAAAAGTTAGCTTCCGAGGAAACATACATCCACACAAAAACCTGTACACAAAGACCTCAAAAGCACAGGCAACAAAGCAAAAATAGAAAAGAGAGATTA